GCGTTCGGCGCGTCGCTGCAGGAGGTGACCATGTTCCACGACCGCAACGTGCAGATGGTCGATACCACCTGCCCTTGGGTCTCCAAGGTAAGCCTCTTTACCCCCCCACCTGTGATGCTTACCTCTCCCACCTGCGCCTCTTAACCCCTTGGTCAGCTTACTGCCCCGAATTCCCTTCCTCCTCCCATCCTCCCATGCTCCATCGTCCTCCCATGCTCCATCGTCCTCCCATGCTCCATCGTCCTCCCATCCTCCCATGCCCCCTCTCGCATGTCCCGTGCGTTGCGTGTGCGGTGGGCAGGTGTGGGACACGGTGGACAAGCACAAGCGCGGGCAGTTCACGTCGGTGATTCACGGCAAGTACGCGCACGAGGAGACCGTCGCCACCGCCTCGTACGCTGGCACCTACATCGTGGTCAAGGACATGAAGGAGGTAAGGGCGCGCAGGGGTGCGGGCGGGCAGGGGGTGAGGGCGGGCAGAGGATGAGGGCGGGCAAGGGGTGAGAGTGGGCAAGGGGTGAGGGCGGGCAGGAGGACTGGGCAAGGAGTGGCAGGGAATGAGGAGCAGCAGCTCTGTATGGCACGGATATGCTGGGCGTAGGGGCAACACGTGCCGCACTCCACATGTGTTTGTGCCACCTCTCCGACTCTTCTCCCCCACTCGCAGATGCTCTGCTCGTCTGTTTCGCGCCTTCTGCACACCCTCACACTCGGGCCCACCATCCTGCTGCCTCTGTTCTGCCTGCCCGCTCAACCCCCCACTCCCCAAACCACCACCCTCCACATCCCCCCCTCTTCTTCCCCCCCCCCCCACTCCCCCCGGCGCTGTGCCTGCGTGTGCCCGTGCAGGCGAACTACGTGTGCGACTACATTCTGGGCGGCAAGCTGGACGGCTCCAGCGGCACGCGGGAAGAGTTCCTCCAGGCGAGTTGCTTGGGATGACTCCTGCCAACCCTGCTTCATGTCCCCATTCTCCATCTTCCTGCTTCATGTCCCCATTCTCCACTTCCTGCTTCATGTCCCCATTCTCCATCTTCCTGCTTCATGTCCCCATTCTCCACTTCCTGCTTCATGTCCCCATTCTCCACTTCCTGCTTCATGTCCCCATTCTCCATCTTCCTGCTCTCGCCTCTGCCTCCCCCCTTCACCAGGCCATGCCATACCATGCCGTCACCTTGACTCTCCCCTCTCACGCCATGCTCAACACCCCCTTCCCTCCCCATTGCCGCCACCTCGACCCCCACATGTGCGTGTGTGCACGAGGGCACGCGAGCAGAAGTTTGCCAAGGCGGTGTCCAAGGGGTTCGACCCGGACAGGGACCTGGAGCGCGTGGGCATCGCCAACCAGACCACCATGCTCAAGGGCGAGACCGAGATGATCGGTGAGCCACCATGCCACAGTGCAGGGGGCGTGGGTTGGCAGGGCGCATGGGGCGTGGGGGCCTTGAGGAGGAAGAGTGGGGGTGGGCCACACTCCCCCCCCATTGCAGTTGCCATGTCATCACTGTGCTTCCTAAGTCATGCACCATCCTTGTGCTGCTCACATGCTCCCCCACGTGCCCCCCACATGCCCCCCACGTGCCCCCCACGTGCCCCCCACGTGCCCCCCACGTGCTCCCAACCACTCTCCCCAACCCCAGCGCGTTTGTTGCAACCCAACCCCAGGCACACCCACACTATCCTTCCTCTCCATGCTGCTTTGCCGCCCTTCCCCACCCATGCTCCCTCACCCGCATGCCTGTCCCTCCTGCTGCTGGGCTTGTGGCATGTGCGAGCAGGCAAGCTGCTGGAGCGCACGATGATGAGCAAGTACGGCGCCACCAACGTGAACTCGCACTTCATGAGCTTCAACACCATCTGTGACGCCACGCAGGTGCCATCCCACCCACCCATGGGGGGTTGTTGACATGATGGGGGAGGAGGGAAGGGGGGTTGCATGCCGTGCATGTGGGAGAGAGTGCTTACACCCTTGCTCTTGCTGCTCCCTGCTTCACAGCCGCACCCACACGCCACGTATGCACCAGTGAACCCATCCCACTTCCACAACACACCCTTCCACCCACCTCAATACCTCTTTTTCCTTCCCACTCCCGCCTCCTCTTCTCCTGTCCCCCTGCCTTCCCTGCCCTCCAACTCCCCTGTGAGCGTGGGCAGGAGAGGCAGGACGCAATGTACGCGTTGGTGGAGAGGCCCATGGACCTGATGATCGTGGTGGGAGGGCTCAACAGCAGCAACACGTCGCACCTGCAGGAGATCGCAGAGCACAAGGGCATCCCCTCCTACTGGGTCGATGAGCCCTCGCGCATCGGCCCTGGTAACCGCGTAACGCACAAGCTGTACTACGGCGAGCTCAAGGAGACGGAGGGCTTTCTGCCGCCCGGCCCCATCCGCATTGGCGTCACCTCGGGGGCGTCCACCCCCGACAAGGTGTGTCCCATGCCCTGCACCACCTTCCCTCTGCCGCTTTTGGTGCACAACCCCCCCATGTCCTGTGCAGTGCATGTGCGTAACCTCCCTGTGTCCTGTGCCGTGGTCTCTGTGTGTGGTGTGTGGCATGGCATGTATCCCTGAATCCGTGTGTGTGCATGACATGGCATGGCACGGCACGGCACGGCACGGCATGGCAGGTGGTAGAGGATGTGCTAAACGCCATCTTTGCCATCAAGAAGGACATGGCCGCACTGCAACCAGTCGCTTAGACCCCCCCCTCCCTCTGCTCTTCCTCCCCTGCACATGGATTGAGCCTTGAAAGAGAATCATTTTCTTCTCATTTGCTTGACCTTGTTGGCTGCATCCCCTCCAGTTACACATAGGGCAAAAGCAATGGTTTTATACTGTGTATACCTCTAAAATAAACCTACCTTTTGTAACAACCTGTCTATAACAACAGGAAACCACCCAAAACATGTGTAAGCTAGGGCAGTGCTGCCACCAAGTGCATCGCCCAAGTGCACTCTTCGTGAACCCGTTCCTTCCCATCAAAGCAGTCTGTGCTACAAGGTCCCAAAGCTCCTGTCCCCAGCATCGCCAAGACCAGGTACAATGAACCTGACATGGTGGGAAGGAATGCATGGATGGGGGTGGGAATGGGAGTCGACAAGGCAGATTTGGAGGGAGGGGATGAAGAGTGGAGCGCAGGCAGGAAGGCACGGGCAGGCAGGAAGGCACGGGCAGGCAG